AGAGAGACCTCCTGAGGTCGCTTCCATCTTGAATTATTCTGGAAGTATGTCTTAAAATATAAGCATACATTAATAATAATAAAAAAAAAAAAAAAAAAAAAAAAAAACTTCTCCTCCCTCCCCACATTAAAATTTACACTGAACATAAACAGAAAATAAATGATTGAGACTGTAATTTTTATGATTCTCTCAAACTACTAAGACCTTTCTTAGATGCATGTTTTTTCACAAAACATTTTTGAGAAAACTTATAGTAATATAAATAGTCTTCCCATTCAATTTTGACTTTAAAGAAATATAGCATGAAAAAGCTATGAAATATATTTATCTAACAGATAGAACTTTCATAAACAAAAGATCGAACTCTTGAATTAATTAAATGAACCACTATAAAGATTCTAACCTTTAATGGTCCAAACGTCACATATTCAGCTTTCCACTTACTGTGTAAATGTTGGAAGTGACATATTCACTTCCAGCAGAGGTACCCTCCTTTGCTGAACATCCCATTTCCCAGGGATCAGCAGACCCTCTCACCTGGTATTAGGCAGATCCACCTCTAACCCAGAAGGGTACTGCCTGGTCAGCTCCTGCAGTTCTACCATTTTATATACCCTGATTATAGCTCTGATTTCTGACCAGAGCAGCTGTCTGCAAAGTACTCAAAACTTCAGCAATAGGCAACTTTTATTTCTTTCTAAAGCTTTAAATGTGCTTATAAATTGACCTTCAACATACAAAAATTACTCGTTTCTCTTGGTGATGGGCTTTCAGAGGATCTGATTAGAAAGTGTTTGATACACAGTCACTGGGAGGAATGATACACTTTTGCCTCTGTTCTTCCTGCCTTTTTCTAGATTCTTATGCAATGGAAGTTTTAAACTGGTCTTATTTAGTGTGGTACTGTTGCCTTTTTGCCATGATACAGATAAAATAATTTAATTAATTCCGGGTCCAAATGCCCATAGCTGTTAAATAAAAGAAAGGTCCCAAAACAATAATTCTTCATTTTTCACCAAAACACTCCCTTTCCGCCTCTCCCCTCCCCCCCCCTACACACACATATATGCAAACTGCCTGTTTGCTGTGGCTTCAGACAGTAGGGCTTTCATATGCTGCTTTTTTTTTATTTTATTGCCGTATCTTTAATAAACTATGGAAAACTTTTCTGAGACTATGCTTCTAAGGTGAGACTCAGTGTGTTTTTGTTTATTCAAGAGCAACAAAGAAAATTTTAAAATATCATTGTCACAAAGCAAGCATTTTCTGAATTACACCGCAATATAACAAATATAGCTATGCCTAACACGTTGTCAAAAAATAAAGAGTTGACGTGAATTTTAATGTCCTGTGTCACTGTGTAACTAAAGTTAACAAAGGTCAAAATGTACTAGATGAATATTGAATGTTTACATTGGAAAATATTCAAATCACAATAATTTCTCTCTGTAATGCTAGAGGAGTTATAATATGATATTTATATCAGTATGAACCAGTATTCTGCAAACTCCCTCGTGCTTCTTTTTGCCTTTTAACTCCCTCTATTCTTTAGGCTGATTAGCTAAGGAATTCCTTCAACAGTTACAACTCCAGAAAGGCAGGAGACAGGAGAGAAACACAAGTATTCTAGAGCATCATGAGAAACATCATTCATACTTCAGTGGCAGTTGTACAGAGCAGAAAGGAGAGGCATTTTACTGAGACAAGTCAAAATTCAAGTAACAAGGAAAAAAAACACTCTGTTGCCTGCAAGCTGGGTATCTAAGAAATGAATGCAAAATAAAAGTGATTTCTGGTTTTATATCCCCACAATTCAGCGTCTTGGGAGATAAAAGAAAGAGAAGAGTAGCTAAATTATACCCTGATGTGAAAGACATTGTACAGGTTTAAAAACATATTAGGAAAACTAAAGATTCAACATGTTTCTGCCCCCTTTTAAGTGTGAGAAAAGCAAAATAAAATGTTCAGAGATGTAAACTGCCTATATGTTAAAAAAAATTAGATTTCAGTTCTCAAAACTAAGGCTCTTTGAACCAGTGAGGAACAGTCCTCTCTTACGCTTTCAGTATCTAATCTTGTCACTACTAATTTAAACTGAAATGGGTAAAATACTGCCTCTTGTATCTAACAAATGATACATCCTTCCCCATTTTATGTTTCAGCTTTACCATAAAACCCTTCTCTGCCATAATTCCTAATTTTTAGATTCATCTAGGTTTATGTAGATTTACAAAAATTTGACACGGGACCCAAAATTCAGTAAACACAATGTTGTGTGATAAAGCATAATCCAGGCATATAACAAGAAAAAAGTCCACTGGCATCAGTAAGACAGAAGCAGTGAAAGAATGGAAGAACTTTAAAGACATCAATGTGCATGGAACTTGGATAAAAGCCATCATGACATAACTCATAAAGGTTCTGGCTAGCTGATAACTACGTTTCTATGCAAAGTACAACTAACCTGGAATTTATGAAAACATTTGATATAGGACTATCTGAGAACAGACAATTAGTAAAGATTTATAAATAATATGTAGAAAATTGTACTGCATTGAAATAATAGATAGTGCTCAGTATAGAGAATGATCATAAGATCATCATAAGAAGATCATCATGATCTTTGTTACCATTAATATTATTTAGTGTTTGTGTGTGAAGGACATTCTTAATGAAACAGAATATGCAGGTGGTGATCAGAAGATCAGAACTAAAATACCAAAAACTTGATAACCTTGAGGACTGTAGCAAAATTAAGAACACTGATTTATGTGAAAAGTGTTATGAAATGCTAAGTCACGTGTTCTTTGAACTATGCAAAAATATTTCTATCAAGAGCTAGATCCCACTGATGGAAGATGAGTGAAGGCAAAATCTTACCGCAGTGTTCCAGGAATGGCTATGGAAGTTATGCAGTTGTGAAAAAAGGCAAAGGTCACTCTTGGAAAAAAGGGCAGGGTAAATGCAATACAGATTTCATCTGGGATACAGTTTGTGGTATGGATTTATTCATAAAGAAGGATGATAAACTATAGCAGTTGTAGAAACTAGTATTAGCTAGTTCTGCATTTCTCTTAACATAGAATCACTGAATGCACTTGCATGAAAAAGCTAAAAGAGACCAGTACATTCAAGTTTCATGAAATGAAAGCTATGAGAAATTAAGACTACCTTCTTTAAATACATTGTGAGGGTCACAGCAGGGGTGGGGAAGACAATAAGCTTTAAACAAAAAAAAAAAAAGAGGGGGGGAGAAGACTGTTGACATAAGCAATGAGTATAATTTTATGCCTTCTTGGCCATGAAAACACTTACAATGGAATTTAGTGTTTGTAAACATCACAAGAAAGCAGTAATGAAACAGGTATGAAACAGAACCAGCAGGCCAAGAAACTATGATACTGTCAGCATGCAAATAGTTTAAAGAAGTGATTATGACTTGAGTACCTGCATAAAATGACTCAAAGTCACTTTCATTCTTATTTATTCTACCTAACTGCCTACTAGCATTTTGTTTGAAGCAATTTATAATGATTAGACAGACTCAGGTTTTTACCTGGACAGAGTGACATGTTAAAGAGTAATAATTTTCTAAAGCAGCAATAAAGTTTTTCAAAGCCTCATTCTATCCTCATTCTTTAATGACCCTTTTTACTACAGTCAAAGGCAGACTAGCTACATACAGTATCCTATTTTAGAATTCTTTTTTACTTTTGCAAGGCTGCAACAGAGCTAAGAGATCCACAGAGGAGCTGTCCTATCCTAACCACTATGGGAAATTAACCCCCCACCCTTTCTATGATGTAACAAATTCTGTATTTTTCATACTGCATGAATAAACAGTGTCAAGAATCTCTGTAAGCCAAAATACAGTTAGTCTGTACAGAATTCTCTCACATTACTAGTAGAAGTGGGCTGACTTCTAGAGGCTGTACATGTCAACATAGAGAAGGGGTGAATTTTAATGATAAAAAATTCTTTTGCTTACTTTAGGCATGTAAATTATTTCAAACAGCAGTATCACCAGTGCAATTCAGGAAGAGATTGTCATGTCTTTCAGTTACACTAAAATGAATGAAACCTGGACACAAATTTAAAGCATATTCTTAAATGCTTTCTAAAACAGGAGAAAGAAGCTGTACCAAGCTCTTACCAGACTGTAGCACAAGTTATGATCACTTTTCTCATGCAGAAATCCCATAATGTTTTAAAATAAATGCTATTTTAAAAACACACATTTTTTCATACTGTATCTTAATGACATTACTTTTCATTTTGCTTGCTGCATTCACCTCAATAATAGACCCCATCTATTCCCTATGATTCTCCTGGAAAAGGAAATGTATCTTGAAAGTGCTGTTCTTCATTAACATCAAGTATTGCATATTTACAATATTGTCTTTATATAAGTGATGATCAGTAATTTTTTTTCTCAAGTGCTTATAGTACCCTAAAGACTATACATTGAAAAGATACTGGAAATTTTATTTCATAACACAAGATTTATTGACATGGAAAACTTGATAGATAGTCCCGCTATTAAATCAGTATATATAATAAACTGCATTGCATGAATTGAAAGCTTAACTACAGAATAGGGTCTAGAAAAACATGCAAACCACAAAACACCTATTGCAAAAACAATTCTGGCCTCTTGCTATCTTTTATAAATGGAAACAAGCTGCAACATAGCTCAGCAGTAAAGGGGGATAAAAAACTGATAATAATCCTCATGCTCCTCACATGAACTCCAACGCCTTTGAATGAGACTTTTAAAGCTGAAAATTGTCCATCAAAACAGAATAACTTTTGTTAATCCTTGTGCCACAAATTACTAATCCATCTGGAAAGCTTTTTTTTTTTTAATGTGTTTACAAGAATCTAAATGTCATTGGAGACACAACTAGGTTAGTAGCATATAAAAAAAATAAAAAAGAAAGATGGATAAAAAGTCCGAAGCAGTTGACTACAGAATAAGTAGGATTTGCAGAAGTACTTACAGCTCTCAATCTCCAGCGTGCAATTCTGCTCATCCAGCGGATATCTCCGTAGGTCCATCATACAAGCAGCTGTCGTTGTAATTCTAGGAAGGAAAAAGAAGAGCTTGTTAACGTGTCTCATTCCAATCTTTCTTTGATTGCACTTGGTTGAAAGATCAAAATATATTTTTACCGACACTTGACTATTTTTACTAAAATACTGTATACACTGATTGTTTGTAAGTAATACCACTGCAAGGTTATGCCACTGGTGGGCAATAGACAGCTTCCCATTTATTCACCATTATCACAGTACCGCAAGCTTTAATCATCAGCAATCAGTGTATCCTGAAAAAAAAAAAATCATCATGAATTAGAATACTACTAATTCTTTCATTATATAGTGCAGCAGTTTGAGCCAAAAAGGAAGTCTCAATGGAAAGTGGCAGAGGAAATCTAGGGATGAGCAAAGAAATATGTGTACTTCATATCCTGTGTTAATACCCTAATCCTTTCATATGAAATTTAATTCTGTCTTCTTTTCAACAGTGCTTTCTTTGTAAATGAAATATTATTTTAGCTTCACATTAGCAAGTGAACATTTTCAGGACTGTTTTCACAAAATGTTTAGACCATAGTTGATTTGCGCCCCCGAATGACTCGAAACCTTAACACAGGTCAAGTGTTTCTTTTAAATGTTCAGACAAACATCTGTATTATTAATAGACTCTTTTGCTGATAGACCTCTTGGAAGAATAATCCTGAGCATAATAATCTGAACCAAGGCAAAATGCTCAGCAGTCTTTTATTAATGGTTTACCTGCAAGTCTTCCTAGAACATAAACAAAAATCAATTCTGTTTTATTTTTTCCTCCCTCCTCCTGTGAATATGCAGTATCTGTAGAGACTGAAAAAACACACCTAAAATTTGGAATCCACCAATAGTCAAAATAGGTATATTCTGCACATACTCTAAGTAGGGCCAGGTGGGAATTTAGTGCATAAGCTAGAGGTTTCTAGCCTTTCTTCTCTCCCCCCTCTACTCTCTAAGAGCCCTTCTCCTGCACAGCTGCTAAAACCTGGCAATTTATACAGCATCCTCAGACAAACAAGGATTTTCTTTAGTCCCTGTACTTTTCTGTTAAGTACAGCCGACTGGCCATCTGTATCTGGAAAATCTGCTTCCACATCCACAGAAGAACCTGAGCACTGTACAGCAGCCAAGTATACATTTTTTTTTTTTCCAGCTGAGAGTTAGGCAAATAATTTAACTCAAATCACAAAATCCAAGATGACGTAGGTGTGCCTCCAAAACGGGACCCAACTTGATAGATGAAGTGTTTATAGCATGTGCAGACACCATACCACCTGATGGGATCAGCAGTTGGGATTCAAGGGATGACTGATCCTGGGTGACCAACCGTTTTCTTCTCAAAATCTTGTTGCCCTGTATGAGGGTTACTAGTCCTCTATAGAATATATTGAGACTGTTGGATAATGGCTCAAAAACTTCTTTTCTACTCTTCAATCTGACAGAGAACTCTTTCACTTGATGGACCTCAATCTTTCTCCTTAAATACCTAATGACAGTTCATTAGAAGCAGAAAACTATAACTGCTAAAGATAGATTCAAAATTGACTTTAAAAGTTCCTTCCACAAGGTATTAAAAAGTGTTCAAGCAATACAGCCCTCTCATTAGTGTCCTTACAGTACTATCTACCAATGCTTTGCTGTTGTTTACAGAAGAAGAAGGAAAAAAAAAAAGCCCTGTAAATTTCTTCAACAAAAGGAGGAGAGCAAAAGTGGAATCAAGTTACTCCTATAAACACTGTGGAAGTCTTACCTCTTTCTTCTACATCTAAACAATATTCCTTAATTTTACATTTTAACCATACATATCTATTGGGTTCTGAGAGAATTCAATAATAAATGAACACCTTTTGGCAGTAAGTGCCTGCTTCAATCACTACATAGCTACTCACAGAATTGCTTTTGAAAATATGTTGTTTTCCATCAGTGTGGATCACCACAAATACTTCAAAAGAAATCTTCCTGAAGTGGACAAAAGCAGGGGAGAAGAATCTTTTGGCTCCTTTGAATAGATTATTTCCAGCATTTAACAAAAGCAAAAGCAGAGTAATGAAAATGATTGGTAATTCAGTTCACTTGATCATTCTTAACCATAATGCAAATTCACTGGAATAAAAAAGGAAATCTGTCCTTTCCTCTCTTCATGCCTCCCTCATATTTTTACCCTGAATTTTCTCACCTTTGGAAAAATAGAAATAGTTCTCTCTCATCTTCAAAATTATTTAAGCAACAAAGCTACCTTTTAATAATTATTAATGGCTTGCAATTCACATTGAATAGCTAAACAAAATTACTAATGCAAGAGCACAGAAGAATTGTCACCTTTAAATGCTCTTAAATTCAAGACTCATGATCTATACCTTTGCAGAGGAAGAAATAATAGTTATAGCAGGTAGGAATGCCTGAAACAGGCATTCTGCATCTTCCCCAAAGCAGAGCTATTACAATTTTCATAAAGGGATTAAAAATATTTTTTATATAAATATATACTAGCAAGGACTAGTGCACAAAATATAAAATTGTTTTTTGCATAACATAGCCTTGAGTACAAACAATGGAAAAAATTACAGCTTTTAAAAAAACAACACTGACTCAACACACTAGTCATTAGAATGATAACAGAATAACAGTGCTCTCAGTGTGAAATGAAACACATTACAGAACTGTTTCATACACTGATCTTTTTATCTGCTGTGAAAGAAAGAGAAACCTTATGATGTTTCATTTCATGACTCTTAATGAAGCAAACCAGTGCAAAGAAACCTTCACCCTGATTATCTTGCAGGGAAAGTGAAGTTTGCTGTCAATAATTCCAAAAATAATACCTATTACTTTTGAGAAAACAGAAAATCTGCCCTTGTCTCCAAACCTTTGGGGAGGTTCTGTGCTTCATAGGACCTGGAAACTGACACTGCTCCTTTCTCAGGCCATAAGGAACTCTTAAAACACTTTCATATTTTAAGTGTTGCAGAAAATAATACTGTGCTGGTAGTTGAATAATACGACTGTCCTACTAATGGTTCTTTTTTTCAGTGCTACACAGGGGACAGTTTTTCAAAATCGAATAGATGTTGGCCTTCCTACAAGTTAAAGTAGAATTTGAAAATCAAAAAAGCAACTAAAATAGTTCTGATATCGCTGTAGAAGAAAGAACACCACTAGAGACTGGAGAGCAACACTACTGATATGTGGAGACGGACAGAATACAAAGCCCTCGTGGAGCTGCTGCAGCTCAGCAAAGCTGTAGGGAATGCCACAGCAGAAACTTATCTTTGCCCTGGAAGGAAACAGGTCTGACCTATTACAGACAGAACAGAAATGATGAGAAAGGAGGTGACAATTTCAGATAGTTCCTCAGAGCAGAGTGGTAGTATGAGAACTATATAATACTCTTAGCTCTAGCACTGACACATCACAATCCTAATGAAAAAGAGACAAAGCTGAAGCCCAGGAAAATGAAAGATCAATTATTTCTTCAATTGTATGCACGTATACAATGTCCAGTCAAAAGCAACATGAGATTTTGCTTCAGATCTCTGTGTCTGAAGGCAGAATCTGACTCTCCATTAACAATTTCTGGACAAATCCAAAGAGTTTGCAAGGAAGCCATGCTCTTTAACTGACTGTATCTCTATCGGGACTTCATCAGAATGTTATGTGCCCACCAACTGGCAATCACTCTCTCTCTCTCTGAATTCGTTACTGAAACCACGCACTGCAGCTATACCCACTGTTCACTTCTGCTTCTTGGAAACAGTCCTGCTGCGTGACAGTTGGAAACAGCAGCAGCAGCAGCCAGCATACCCAATTTCAAATACGTGGAAATCTGGGGAAAAAAACAACACTGTAATGTGATATATCACTCTCCTGAACACTAATACTGGATTTAAACATGTGTCACGGTTGCTATAAGTACTAACAGATTGACATTTAAATTAAAAAAAACATTTATTACTAATTATAGAGGTCATGGAGGTCTTCTTCCTTCTGTTTATTCACACCAAGCATAAGCTTCCCTTATATAATCTTAGGTTAAGAGCTGGCTTTCACAAAGGATAAACAGTGACATTTCTACAAGTCCATCATGAAAACCAAATATTCAGCTACTGACTGCTATGATCTTTCAACTTTAAATTGTGCATAGAACTCTCAGTGTAGTTTAATGTGAAAAAAGTATAAATGGTTTTGCTGATATTGATACCTTTGTTTGAAATGAAATGATATAGTCAGGCCACAGAGAGCCTGTAATATGCTCTCTTCTAATACCACTTCTCAAAATTTCATGAGTATTTCAGCCTAGCTTGTTTTTCTTATTCCTTTCCTCATTTCCTTAGTCATTACCCTGTCCAACCCTCACGTACTTAGATACTCTCTCAAAACACTAAGTGTTATTTGTTAAAGCTAGAACTCATAACCATAAGTTAAGCATATGATGCTTAAACCTTTTCTATGGATAATACAAGATTCAAATCAAATTCTGGAGCTGACAAAAATCAAGGAGCTAGAACAAATGCAGAAACTTCAACCTCTAAGTTTTGTTGGTTTACACTGTTGATTAAAGAAGAATAAAAGATGTTTTAGAGGAAACAAATATCGGTCTGTGATCTTTTTCTGGAAGAAGCTCTCCATTTCTCTGCTGAAGGATTGGCTGTTGTGCTATCTGCTCATGGAAAACTGGTGAATTTGGCTCTTATTTCATAGTAAAAGAATTGTGATTCTGAAGAATGATAATTTTGTTGCAGCAAATGATAATTTTCATGCAGCAATGCCCAGCTTTCTACTCTCTCCCCACAAAGCTCTCTAAACTGTTGTTTAAATTAGATAAGCATTGCCTTCTATCCTGTCACTGAGTCCAAAACTCAGCCACAACATCATGTTCATAATTTAAATCCCTGCTAAAAGCAGACGTCACTCTACAGAAAATCTTCTGGTACAATAATCTCAGCTTTAGACTGAAGGTATTCAGGCCTCTCTCTGAAATACTACATGCTCCTTAGAAGATTAACACCCATA